ATTGTTTCTGCTAACTTTTAACACTGTTTAGAGTCTGTTTGAGCATTCTGAGCCTAGTGCATCAAAGGAATCAGTGTTTGGATTTATCAGTTAAGGTTCCAAACCAGCTAGCAAATTGTAAACCTCCTCAAAAGCAGTTTACGTTCAGCAAGCTTAGAGCTTACGATCATGGTGACCGTAAACTCCCTATATATACATAATTCATGATCATTTTGGTAATTTCTTTCCTTTCTAAGTTTAGAATCCCGAATTCTCTCTCAAGTGTCATAAGATCTTCATCTTGATCTTCCAAAAATGTAAGAATTCATTCCTTTGATTTGTTGTTACATCTCTTTATCTAGTGGTTATAAATGATTTCATCCATGAAATCTCTTCATTTTGATAGATCTTCAAGAGTTCTCCATTTCACTAAGAACACACACTAGTGTTCTGGGATCCTAATCTCCCTTACCAGCTTTTAATAAATACACTACCCTTAGCTTGTTATATACTAGAATCACTATTTAATCACCTTGAAAACATCATTTTTAGCCAATAACAAGGTGTTTATGATCTAAGAGTATCTCCTTAGACCGTAAACTCCAATGAAAGGTGCATTAGAGACCTAAAACACTTCCTAAGTCTAAGCATGGTCCCTAGAATCTGATGCTTTTGAATGAAGCCCTTGAAAACCATCATTTGTGCAAGATTTGATGAGTTTACGGTTGAATCTATTTAGACTGTAAACTCGATGACCATAAGGTCATTCGACCGTAAACCAGTTGTACCGTGAACCAGTTTGACCGTAAACTACTTGGACCGTGAACTACCTAGGTCATGCCATTTGGACCATTAACTCAATAGGGTGACGATACACCCTAGCGATGCAATCATATGTGATTGTATCCCTTCAATCTAAGAGTTTCCTAGTCTATTAGGGTGTTATCCCTTATAATTAGTTGCTTATACACTAATCAAATACACATACATGTCATTATATGTTTATTAGGATCTATATGTGTGCTCAAGGTTTCACCAGACACTCTACATCATATTTCTAAACATACTTCCATATCACTCACTACAGGTGAGTTCATACCCCTTAATCTATCTTTTAAATGATTTTAAATGCTTTTAAGGGGGGGGGGGATACAAGTAGAAAACATGTTAGTTATATAATCAATCACATGTGATTTATAACTATGTTTCAAACAAAGGGTTTCATATACTTCAAATTGTGTTTGAAACAAAGGATTTCTTATACTTTCAAATTGTATTATCAATCAAACTGCTTTTAAATCGTTTTATAAATTGACATCAAGTCATCAATATTTATTATTAAACTCTTCAAATGTTTTACAAAACTTCTTTTTTAACATATATATTATCAAATGCATGTATATATATATATATATATATATATATATATGTATAGTTATATAAGTAATGTTTAAAGAACTTAGGATTGATAACTCGCTTAATTTCATTTTCCTTTTTTGAATATGGCCTGAAAGTATCGGTTATTTATTTGAAGTTCGTTTAAATATCAATTATATATTATGTATATATATGTAGATATAAAAGTACTATCAATCAGTTCAGTACCTTTGGGTAGCAAAGGCATACCTTCCTTCATTCAAACTACAAAAATTACTAGTAACATATAAAAGGTATAGTTTAAGTGAATACTATCATATACAAATACAATAACATAGCATACTATAATAGAGAATACTATAACATAGAATACTAGATAGAGAATACTATACAAAGGATACTATACAAAGAATACTATACATAGAATACTATTACTATAACAAGTATACTATAACAAGATTCAGAGATAACATAATGTGAGATACTACCTCAGGACACATCGACCATTTCATTATGTCACCATTTGTAACCAAAATCTCCTGGAGGGAGAGCGTGAGTTTGCATATAGATCTATACTGGATTGACTATCCAACACCTTGTTGTTCGGTATAGTGGGACTTGCAAGTCTACAGGTGCCAAATGTGATTTCTTCTGACGTCCTTCATTGTCGTGTTATAGTCGGTTTAGTATGGTAACAATTTTATCACATTTTCCCTTAATTAAACCATTGGTTTTAAGGTAGTTCTTACTTCAGTAGTTAATACAAATAATACTACGGTACACCTACATTTTTACCATTATATTCAAATTATGATCTTCTCACATAAAGGGTAATATAAAACTATATTCTGGTAACGATTGTCATATTTGGGAAAAGCTTCCACTTTTATAGAGAAACAAACATAAAAAACAGTCAGGTCTTGGTAGAAGACTAATTTTTATATTAGTAGAAAATATAGGATTTTCTAGGAGTTTTTCAAACATATACAAACATTTACATTGAACATTCACAAACATTTTCATCAAACTTATACAAACATTGACACTAAATAGTTATGAACTCACCTGCCTAAATGTTGATCTACGCTTTCAAAATAACTTGTATTCTTAGGTCACAATAGACAAGTACCAATGACTAGGTTTTGAGAAGATGGAGCATGTTCATGACTCGTCTTATATGTTGATTATTCATTTTTGGTGTCTTATTACTAATAAAGAACACACTTGTATGAAATTATACTATTAATGTAATGGATGATGTTGTTGCTTATTTACTACTTTGCATTGTTATAATACTGTACATGACATCCTCCACCCCGAACGTTTCCGCCGTTCTAGTTTTGGGGTGTAACATATGTCGGGGAACTTACTGAGCTTTGTGTTTTTGGTTTCATAATTAAACATTCCAGGTATTTCTGGTAGCAAAGGGAAGGGCCAAAATGATTGCATTACATCCACTAGATATTTTGTACTCTTTATATTATGTTTCACTATGATGTTTTGAAAAACTATTCTATACTCATTTCACTTTTTATGGATCGCAATGGATGGTTTTTATTTTAGTAAAAATGAAAATTTTCTTAGCATTTTGGGATCTTATATTGCCATACTTATTTATATATTTTATGCATTATCTTAATATTTTTAGCTAAAAATGTGCTTATTTTAGGACAAAAGGTGTTTAATATGTTTAAAATATGCCTTGTAGCAGCAAAGACATGCTCAGTAACGAAATGAAGCAAAACGTGAAGCTGGAAGCAGAAAAAACTGGATCAAGTCAACTAAAGTCAAAATTCCATGGATTCTGATGCCCACAACAGGGATATTTGTTCGCCACACTGTGGAGAAGAGAACATTCGTGATAAAGAAACCACCTAGGAGAATACACGTTTTTTAATGATCGCAACGTCGTGTAGCTTATTTTCCATGGGGTGGGAAGCGGATTTTGGAAAATATAAATATTTCGATTCTACCTTTAACCCTAACTTATACTAGAAGCTTTTGCCAACTTTCGAAGACCAGAGACATCCTTAGGAGGCTTCAGAGTCCAAAATTCAATAGAAAGCTTGATTTGAATAGATTTAAAGGAAACATTACTTCTAAACATATAATGGCTTTATTTTCATCATGTTTTGCAAAGTGAATTTCGTTTTTATTTGTTTATTTATAGAAGTTAAGGGCTAAATACCCTAACTTCCTTTTAGAGTAGAGGATCTTACTTGCTATGTGTTGATTTATTGGATTTTGGATTATTAATAGTGACTTATTCATTATGTTAGCTTGAAAAAGAACCTTTTGTGTTAATGGTATCTTCGTTTCTATTTATTGCTAAGTTTTATTAAGATTAGATGATCTATCTATCTTATTATACTTGTATCGTATGTTTTTGTGATTACAAGGTTATAGGACTAGTGTTTTTACGAAAAGCCTATGGTTAAATAGAAAAGTTGGTAAATTAATGTGAAAGTCAACATGTGATGACCATTCATGTATTGAATTGATATTTATAACCATTTACATCAATCATAATTTAAAGTCTTTCATAATTCAAACTCAATACTAGTGTACTAGTTTGTTTTTCCATTTGATCACTAAAAGAATAAACTTGCTCGACTGAAGGACTAGTTTATTGATCGTAATTCTACTCAATCTAGGAATCATTAAGCAACAACACTTTAATCTATTGTACTATGCATGAACTCAATCATATAAGTGAGTGTATCGCATCTAGATGAAAGTCTCGTTTAATCTTCTATTCAAAACCATTTTTTGTTTCTTTTTGGAGTTCAATTTGATTTTGTTAATTGTTTTAATTAATCCGGACTTGCAAAATGATTAAAAAAAAACACCATTTATTTTCTTATTTTATTTAGTTAAGTTTAGTTGATATCTTAGCTATTAATCATTTTTGTTACCTGTATTCGATACCTGACTTACCTGAAATATACTATTATTCGATTTGGTACATTGCATATTGTGTAGTAGCTAGTCTAGATTAGTTTGGTTTACAACTAAAGAACTAGTACATAAAGTGTGTATCAAGTTTTTGATGTCGTTGCCGAGGAATGACTTTATTATGTTTATTTTTATTTGTTATTTATTATCAATCCTTTGTGTCGAGGTTATTTAAAACAAGGTTAGTTTTGCTGACTACTAGAAAAATAGTCTTTTACGATGTGCAATGCATGTCGTAAAACACTCAGACAACGTGCAAATGCATGTCAAGAAAGGCCCTATCATAACGAGAGACGACACGCTTTTGCGTGTCATCTATAGACGACGTGCATTTACGGCACACATTTATGACATACAATGCGTATCATTAAAACCCTTGTCAAGAAAGGCCATTTCATAAACGAAGATGACACAAATTTTTGCGTATCGTAAATTTAAATGTTTAAAATAAATATATTTATATATTTATTAATTTTTAAATTAAATTTGCTTTTACTATCTCATAATAGAAATAAAATACCATATACAAAAAATAAAATCCATTGCATAATATAAAATAAAATTTCATACTCAAAAAATAAAATCAATTGCACAAATTATAATATGTCATACAAAGAATCATTCAAATGTTAAACAAAAATAATACATTGCTAACATGGGTTATACATTCCTATAAAACTAACAAATAATCATCCAACTCTGTTTCTTACTGGAATATGTGTGTAATTGTCTCCTTCATCAGCCTCCATGTCCAAAGTCGGATCTACCTTCCTAATCTATATGTATAACAAAGACACATGTGTTAAACTTGTTACCATTAACATCTGATCATATGGAATCGAGTGTTAAACATGTTACCATTAGCATCTGATTCATATGGTCCACAGAAAGCCATGTATTCTTCACCTCTAATTCATCAAGAATGTTACCTGCATAAATGAAAACAAATAGGAACATTAACAGCCCAATTATGAACAATTTCACAGGATGCCATATCATGTATTACCAAAAACGATGATCATTAATAAGACCTTTCAAGGATAATTTGGTCTGGATAGAAGATTAAACTAAATACAAATCATAAAGATTCTAAAAAACAGTCGACTACATTGGAATTGATCGCTTATTTGAAGAATAAGATAGAAATGAAATAATAAGAATTATAAATAACCATTGTGTATGAGGTATAGAGGGAATCTTTATCTGTACACTCTATTTCTTGAAAGATGATAAGTAGTTCAGCCAAAAATTCACAATAATTAAGTAGCAATCAACTACAGCTTGCCAACTTAATGAGGCCAAAAATTCACAAATAACTAGCAAGCAACTTAGTTTAACAAGTAACAGCAGGTGATATTAAGAGCCATAGAAAGGTACAGAATTTCCTCTATTGAGATCAGATCTATAGCGGATCATATCATTTCACATCACTAAAAGGACGACTTCGCAATATAGCAACAGCTTCACAACAGAAAATGAAAAAATAAATCCAACATATAACAAACTTACAGTAAGCAGAAACTAGAGACAAAAATATGGGGTAATACACCTGATCCACCAACAGACCATTGTGCTGCCTCACTTTGTTAACCACTTCCTGAGCTGCAGCCTTCCTCAAATTTCTCTTGATAATAAAGAACAAGATGCTAATAGATAGCATAACCGATGTAACTTGAGCAATACATGAAATAGGAACCAAACACAAACCTCGACTCTTAGTATCTAGCTTTGTATCTCCTTTATCAAAGTCTTATAATTTAATTCATTTCAATTAATTTTTCAGCCTGATTATAATGAATACAACAAAATTTGTTCTAAATTGCAATTTGTTGGTGAATTTTAAAAAGTATCAAAGAGAAAGACATGGAAATAGTTCTTGATCATCATTGTAATAACATTGAAATGAATAATATAGAATTTGTACTAAACTATAATAACCCCAACAAGCATATGATATGCACAAAATCTCAATCAAATTCCACTAACAAACAAAATCAACTTACTAGAAGAAAAATTCTTGATGAAGACAAAAATTACCTCTTGATTAGCACAATAACCACCATGTTGTTGAGTGGCTTCACAACTTGATACCTTAGTTGATCAAGCAACAAACATAAGTTCGTACTTGCTTCAATTGATTAGTCACTAACATTAAGTATGGCATCCCCTCTATGAAGCCATGTTATGTTAAATTCACATTGCATCTCTACAACACACTCCTTTGTAACTGCATCATTCAACCTCACTGTAATAAAAGGACAAATCGGTCATTTTTTTTCTTTTTCCATAATAAATAATATAAAAAATATATTTAAAGCTCATCATGACCTTGTGGTTGTTCCATTTTCACTGCTTCTAAATTATCTTGTAGTTCCTGAAACATTCCATACAATCTTTCTCAGCTTATTCTTTTACAATAAGAAGGGTATTTTCATCTTTTTAACAACAAAATGGTGAAAACATGTATACGTTGAGTCTTCCTTCTTGACAAAGGGCTGGAGTAGTTAATAATGTAGAGTATCTGCAATTAAAAATTTTATTCACAATTCACAATAAAAATAAAATAAATTATCTTTTGTTGGGTGGGGGGGGGGGGGGCTTACTCGCAACGGATAGGTTCATCTATATCAACAACTTCAACTTTTGATCCACATCTTAATCTCACCTGTAAAATGTTGAGTAAATATCATATGTTCAAAGGGGAAATTATGTAATTTTTTAATTAATGTAAAGATTAAAATATTAAGATAGGTACAATTAAGCTTCTTAAGGCCCATTCCAGCATTTGTCACTATTTGAGAAGAGCATGACTCTGTATGACTCATGGTGAGCCTGATGAACCAGTTGGGTGAACAGAGACTGGAGTGATTTTGAGATAATGGAAATTGAACTGCTTGCTGTCGATAATAGATGGCTGATCAACTGGTTCAAAATCTGAACTCAGTATATGTGATTCGAAAATCACTACTTGGTGTATGTAAGGTTACAATGACTCCACCACCAACAAACATGTTAAAATTTTACCTGGGAATGCCCCTTCTTTCAACATTTTTTCATACATTTTTTTAGCGCCACTACTTTCCTTAATTTGATATTATATTATTTATATAAACCAAAGTCAGTCTAAGGTTTTCAAAGCAAAATTAATGTTGCACTTATCAACATGAAGCACTCAATACTTGGTTTACTGATGACATTATTGGAAAAAGAAGTACCCGAGCCTCCACTTATTTGACCTGCATCCCATCTGTATGCAAAAATCTAAACTTTATATTCAACACAAACTATAATTCTCTGTAAAAAGAATTCATTTAATTATGTAACAATCTGGCTTCAAGATGTTTTTGAGCAACAAAAGTTTGATCTGATTTACCTGGTGATTGGTTCCTCACCAAGTAGGTAGGAAAGAGATTGATGTAATGCCAACATTTCCTGCAACATCATCAAGAAAAGAATGAAAATAATACAACATGAAATATTATAAGTGAAGACATAAGTATTTATCTTCTTATTCATCCCTTTATCTGTCCTAAATGAGAAAGTTATTTAAAATGGTGAATTTAGGATTTCTACATGATTGCAATTTTTTGAGTATGACCAAAGATACACACTAAAAACACAAACTTAAGGGATAATGCATGCCCTGAATCTACATAACAAATGAGTGTAAATGTTGTATGTGAAAAGGGGTTTGGTTAACGATTTCATAAAAGATTATTCGGTTATCATCTTAAGATTATGCGTTTTAATACATGAGATGTTTCCTTATTCGGACTAATGTGTGTTCATCATGGAGATAGATGTTATACACATAGAGAATTAGCTAATGACCTACATAGTCTCTGGTGAAGTCAGTTGGCTTTTACTAGTGAAGACAGGGTTTTGCGTTATCTCTCTATATTGGGGATTGAGTATCTGTGAAATTGTACCTGGCATGTTAGCAAAGTAAACTCTAACAAACAAATAAATCTAAAGATAATGAAAAAAGAAGAAGCCAAAAACCGGATTCGTGTTCTGTGGGTTTGAAAGGAGACGCTGAATGAACTGTGAAACAGATGTTTCCTTAATTCAATATTGCTTCACCTCGAGGTTGTCATCTTCTTTATTTGGGAGACATGTATTCAACAAGAGCTGACAAATAATTAGTCAAATGGGAAGGAGGAAGATCGGATATCCTTTTTCTTCCTAAAGACGCTGATAGCCCTAGTTCTTGGGTCCACCCTTGTGAGGTCGGGAGCATAAAAGCCCTAGTTGTTCCTTGATATCGGGGAAAAAAAACCTTAAAATCACCAGCATTGTGAGTCTGAGGAGCCGTAGATCTTCAATCGTCGGCTCTATGATAGATTTTCTGAGGTATGATTTTTGGGTAAGGCGGGGTTGGGAATCAGTAATTTGATGTTATAGAAGCGATATAACGATGTTCGTGCTGAAGGGTCGCATGAAAATGGAGGTGTGGGTGACTCAACCGAGACAATGATCGTTATCATCGTCGTCGCGAGGCATTTAATCATTAAAGCAACAACAATTCTGGTATAAAGACGAAGACCTAGGGTTTTTCTCGCTAATTGGAAGAGGCGGGGGGTTTAATTCTTGGGATTCAATAGGCGGGTGAAATCCCGCCTTAAAAACGTGTGATTCATTAAAATGTTATAAAGCGACACATTTAGACGATGCACATTTTATGAAAGGCACCCTCCACGTTTCCCTTTTTTTTTCTTTTCTGACACTAATTTTAGGGTACGCACAAATATGTGTTCTCTATCTTTCAAATTTTGCAAAACTGACATTATTTTTTAGGGCACAAACAAATGTGCATCCTCTATCAGGTGGACAGGCCAAACCCATTACATTATGGATTATTTATCCCAAAAATCTCCCCCTTTGTGTCGATTAAAGAAAGATAGATTCTTCAGCGCTACTGACGTTTCTAAACTTTGAACAACTTTGACATTAATCCAAGCAAAGTGTTGCGAACCAAGATATACCACTTGATCATATCTTGCGAAGAACTTTTTACCTAAAACATCATTCATTTTCCATTTGTTTGTTATCCACAAAACAAAGTTCAGACAAATGTGGAATACAGATGCTTGTTTGGTAAGGAGAACAAGTACTTATGAAATTTCTCGCCTTCTCGCTGTTGAAACGCCACACTCCAGTTATCCTTTTGGATTCTTCCCAGTTTCATTTTTTTGATACCATTCAGAGCCTCTTTTGGTTGCACAGTGGGTTTCTTTCGTAGTACTGCAACATTCTCCACATCCATTTTTTCAACTTCTTGAATGTAAGAGACTAACATCCTTTTCAAATATGCCACTACTGGTTCGAAATTCTGTTCATATTTTGAGAAAAGAGTGAACAAGGAAATCCAATCATAAGGATTTAGGCATGGCAAGTCTGCGAGAGTGAACTCAAAGACTGAAATCCCAACTCCTCTGACTGCTATTAATCGAACGTTGATAAAGCTTCCGGTTTCAACTAGTGTAAAGACCTTCACAACAACAATTTTCTTCGAACTCCATGTTTGATATTGGGGCTTTCCATGCTTAAGATAAAATGAGAAAAGCGAGTAATTGACATCGTTATCAAAATCAAGAGCTTTCTCGATCATCTCAAAACAACGAAACATGAACGCCTTCGGAGTGATCGGAAAATCAAGCTGATATTTTGAAGAGTTATCTATGTCAAAAGAGACAATCGGCTCCTACCAGTACACATTTGGATTGTCAATTGCCTCATTCAGAATCTGCTCCATAGACCATGGAGGGAAGAGGGCCTTCTAAGTTTTAAATGTGACCTGTGCATCATGCTCCTCTTTTTCATCTGTTTCAGCTTCCTTTGCAACACGCTGAACTTCATCAAGCTCATTGTCACATTTCTTTCTTTTGAGCTTAGCCTCTTTTGATAAATCTTCTTCTTCCTCATCATCATCATAAAATCAATTTTCCTTTAGATCCAAAAGCTTCATTACCCTTCTAATATTTTGGTTTCGACTGTGGTTTGTGTTCGAACTCACTAGAGTCACCAGCTGTGCTTTTGGGTTCTTCATCAGATGGCTTCTTAGCTTCTCCCCTTGTTTTTGAAGAGCATCAGATTCTGAAACACCCACCATACAATTAAGCATGGAGAATATTGGTTTTAATTTTTCAACTAGATGTTTTCGAACCGAGACTGTAAGCAATGAGTCATGAGTCTCTATGAGATTTTGCAAGAAAAGGTTGACATCTGCGACACAACTGTTGATAACAGCCATTTCAAACTTTAAAGAATCCAGCTCTTGGTTGTCATTTGCAAGTTATACTGAAAGAACCTTCACCTTTTCGGTCTTCACAACAAGTTTATCCGTGATCTTGTTCTCGGTAGCAACATCTTCCTTTAACTTCTCAATTTTGGAAATGATGGAGGCATTCATCTCCTTATTATCCACCTAAAGTTCAAAACGAACCTTAGATAAAGCTTCTTTCTCCATTTGAGAGTGGCGCCAAGACTTGTAATCACCTTGTTCGTAGCTGCAATGTTCTTATTAGAAGAACTCCGAAAATCCTCCATAAATTGAGTAACATTAGCAAATAGTTTTTACACTTTTTCGGTCGTTTCAAAAACAGTATTCTCTATGTTTTCAACAGCTTTTGCAAAATTAACAATATTATGAAATATTATGTTTGAGCATTGAGTTCTAACTGATAGTTTTTACTAGAATTAAAGTAAAACTATGTTTAGAATCACTTGAAAAATATTGGAAGTCTTATGAGATTCCAATCAAAAGTAAAATATTGAAATTAATGAAATATAAAATTGAAAATAAGTAAAATTATAATATTGAATGTTTTAAAGAATCTCGTTAGAAACATTTAGGCAAAAAAACTCATCGAAATCTGAGTTATAACGAAGAAGTTATGACTTATTGAAGTTTCGCGACAGAACCATCACGACACCGTATAACGTAAAAAGTGAGTTTTCGATAAAGTACTTTTTAGCGTTTATGATCTAAATTAAAGTCGTAGTATTCATTAAACCAAGAATTTTCATAAAAAGAACGTCCAAATCTGACTTCATATGAGCAAGTTATAATTTTTCTAAGTTATTGAATAGCAGTAGATAGCTAAAAACTCAAAATAAAGATCGAGTGATTTTTTGCGGATATAACCTAAACGAGAATCGAAGATCTCATTAATAGTAGCACAGTGGTAAAAAGACAGACGAAAACGAACGTTAGATGAAGAAGTTGTGAATTGTTAATGGACGTATCCTGTCCCGGCCTGTTAAAAATATAACTTTAATAATAAAGTCAAAATTAACCAATGGAGTCTAAACGAAAGTTGCAGAGTATAATCTCACCTACGCGTGGATATAAAGAACATAAAAAACGGAGCTCGTATGTAAAAGTCATGAATTTTTGAAGTTTGGAAATTCGGAGTACGCCCAGCATACTCGTGTTCACAGTCCAAGATTGGCCACGTCACCAAAACCCTCACATACGAACCGTATCATATTGACTCGACACGTCTAATGTCACGCTACGCCTAGCATACTAAGCCGTAACTCATTATGCTCCGAGTAATAGAGTGCATGCCCAACGAAGAGGTTATCAGGGCAGTACCGCGTACTTGAAGATTACGCCCAGCGTAATTCGAGTTTCAGCCCCTATAAATAGTGAGCAAAACCTCTGGGTTTTTGTTTACAAAATCTATTCTCTCTCTCTCTCTCTCTCTACTTCTTCTCTACCTACTTTTAACCCCCTGAAGTCTCGATATCATCCCCAACACCGAAAGCAAGTCCCGACGCTTCGAAGTTCCAGAGAAAATCATCTTATTAGTCGAAATTCTGCCCGAGTAAGCATCACTTGGGTACTGGTATGTAGCCTTTGACCATGAAGTGTATGACATAAGCAACACTTTGGCAATGGTAGAATGCTAAGATAGGGCTGAAAGCCTGTGTATTGTAGCAAAATGGTATTCTTAAATTGTATTTTCTTCACCACTTGGGTTGAAGCTTTGTTGATGTATATCAAGTATTGTAATTGTTATGTCTCATTGATTGTATATGTTCGTATCAAATCATCGATTGATAAGGAAAGTCTGTCATATGACACACACATACCTTCGTTGTTCTTTGTCCCTCTTTGCTTCTGCCATATTGAAATGTATATGGCATAACGATATATTGTAACTGTTATTGAACTCACTAAGAGTCACCCGCTTATCCCTCTTAATGTTTAAACTATTGCAGTTGATAAGCCTCTGGTATAGTCGTGTACTGGTAGAAGATGTAGAATATATAATATTATAGCTTTTGTATTTTAGTGTTAAATTTCCTGGGAAGTTATGTAAGATATACATACACACACACACACATATATATATATATATATATATATATATATATGTAATTTTATAAAAATCTTAATAGTCGGTTTGCATCTAGTCTATGTAATTAAACTATCAATGTAAAATATTGTTTTATGAATATGCATGTAGCATGTTTTGGAGTAACTAGGTGTGATAATAATATCTTTAGTATGAAAGTTACGGTCTTTCAATCATGGTATCAGAGCGGTACTTTAAGTGAACTATATACCACGAATTGTTATTTAGACTTTAACCGTTAGATGTTCAATATATGAATGGATTCATTGTAAATATATGGATACAAACCATAGGAAATATTTAAGTAAAAGTATTAGGTAATGATAAACCCTAATATTCTAAAATACAATGTTACTGTATATTGCAGAGCAATGGCTGAACAGGTATCCCCTTGTGAGGAGCGACTTATGGATAAACTTACTGGGTTATTTGACAGACTTTCGAAGAACACAAAAAGATTAGTGATAAAGGCAAATAGAAAGTCACTAGAGAATCTTCTAAAAGGGAGGCGAAACGTGCCTCATTCAAAACTTTCAGGAGTAGTGGTGCTACAGAGTTTTCTGATGTCCTTAATCCCATAGTTTTTCTAACTTGAATTCAAAACACAGAGAAAGTATTTTCTATCGCTCATGTGGATAATGAAGACAAGGCTAATTATGATTGTACAATGCTCATCGGAGACGCCTTGGTCTGGTGGGAGGCAACCTATGAAGCTCTTAATCGGTATGAACAGGATAATTTATCTTGGGAAATGGTCAAAACTCGTTTGCTAGGGAAGTATTGTCCTCTAGACATGAGGAAGAGATTGGAGAAAGAATTCCTTGAGCTTAAACAGGGAGGAACGACTGTGAATGAGTATGAAACTCAATTTAATCAGAAAGAACGATTTGCTACAAAGTATCTTTCAACTGAAGAGGACAAAATTCAGTTATTCTTGGAAGGATTAAGATATGAAATCCACAATTTTGTGAGCAATTGGGATGTTCTATCATTTGATAAAGCGGTTAAGTATGCACGAAAACACGAGCATGACTTGGGGATACGTGGTGCCACTATTTCTTTTCCAAAGCATCCATGTATCGATCAAACTGTTCCTGTTTCCTCTATTCCACCAGCTCAATCCATTCGAACTAATCCCAGTAAACAAGTGCAATCTCATAATACCTCTCGTGTTCGCGGCAGGTCATAATCTTTTTCACTACAGTTGAAATTGTGGAAAGAATCATCCGGGAGAATGCAGAATAGAAAATGGATTAGTGGTCTGTTTTGGATCTAGAGAAATAGGCAACAAGAAGCCCATTTTCCCAATGAAGGATGTTACGTGCTTTGCTTGTGGTGTTGTTGGCCATACGAAGCGTTTCTTCCCTACTCTTACTAGTCAAATGGCGGGAATTCAAGATTCTGTTCAACAACCGGCAAAAACTCAAGCTCCTGTTCAATAACCAAAGAATACTCCAACTAAAAAGGAGGAGGTTCCAAAAGCTAAGGGTCGTGCATTCCAGATTACCACAGAAGAGGCACGCGAGGACCTGAATGTTGTGACGGGTACATTTCTTATCAACTCTAGACCTGCTCACATCTTTTTTGATTTTGGTGCCTCAGATTCTTTTGTGTCTCATGAATTTGCGCATTCCTTTCAAATTGGTTGCTATGCACTCGCACAACCATTTCACGTAGATACTGTGGGAAGTATATCATTACTTGCTGATAAAATCTATACAGATTGTTTCATAGAAATTGAAGGCTATAATTTTATTGCTAACCTGATTCCTATCTCCCTGCCCAACTTTGATATTATTCTCGGCATGGATTGGTTGTCAAAGAACCATGCAGAACTCTTCTGCTATGAAAAGATAGTACGTATTCCCATTGAAGGGGAGAGTCCTATTTATGTGTACGATGAACAAAGAATTTTAAAAATAGTCTCTTTCCTAAAATCTCATAAATTCATATCGAAGTGGTTTCTATATATTCGGACTATACAACTAATATCTCAAAAGAGGAGAAGAAAACGGTAAATGATGTTCCCGTTGTTAATGAATATCCTGATTTTTTCCCCGAAGATTTTCCTGGAATTCCTCCAGATAGGCAAGTAGAATTTTGAATTGATCTTGTGTCTGGTGCTACTCCGATTGCAAAGACTCCTTATCATCTTGCGCCAGTTGAGATGAAGGAAATGATGATCCAACTGCAGTAATTACTTCACAAAGGCTTTATTTGACCGCGTATCTCTCCTTGGGGTGCTCCAGTGTTGTTTGTCAAGAAGAAAGACGGTTCGGTGAGAATGTGTATTGATTACTGTAAGCTAAATAAGGTAACTATCAAGAACAAGTACGCATTACCTCGCATTTACGATTTGTTTGATCAACTTCAGGGTGTTAACTATTTCTCGAAGATTGATTTGAGATGTAGATATGATCAACTTAAAGTAAATGAGCAGGATGTACCGAATACTGCTTTTCGTGCTTGATATAGGTATTATGAATTCCTTGTCATGTTGTTCGGTCTGACAAATGCTCCTGTTGTATTCATGGATATGATGAATCACGTATGTCCTCCGATGCTCGATAAATCTGTCATCGTATTCATTGATGATATTCTAATCTATTCCAAGTGTGGAGCTAATCATGGCCTTCATAGTCGTGAAGTATTAGAACTTCTTCGAAAGGAGAAGTTACATGCTACATTCTCAAAATGTGAATTTTGGCTTCTCCAAATTCAATTTCTCGGCCATGTGATTTCTTGAGACGATATATCAGTGGATCCTATCAAAATTGAAGCCATTCAAAATTGGGATGCGCCCCGTAATGCATCTGAAATTCGTAGTTTCTTGTGTCTCACGGGATATTACAAGAGATTCATTAAAGATTTTTCGCATATAGTCGTACCTCTCACAAGTCTTACACGAAAGGAAGTAAAGTTCGAATGGAGTGAAGCCCAAGAAAAAAGCTTAGTAAAGTTCGAATGGAGTAAAGCCCAAGAAAAAGCTTTCTTAACTCTAAAAGATCTTTTGACTCATGATACTATCTTATCACTTCCAAAAGGTGATAATGATTTTTCTCTGTATAGTGACGCTTCAAGATTGGGAGTCAGGTATGTGTTAATGCAACGTGGTAAAGTGATAGCCTATGCCTCAAGACAACTGAAAGATTATGAAAAAAATTATCCCACCCATGACCTCAA